CGACAAGTGGCGGCTCTACGTTGGCACCACACGACCTTTAGTGCTGGCGCGGAGGAGTGCCGTGGACGGATATCCCTTGGGTTGAGCTCTTCTGCCCCACAATAATAATTTGGCCCAAGACGAATAATCGATCGTCCGTCCCATCGCTGAGTCCAAGTGGACGGGAAGAGGTCTGGCCTTTTCGAAAGCTCACGCCACCTCTACAAATGATGCCAATACGACATTATAATGTAATAAGTAAGGATACGGGAGGGTACTGACTCGGTCCCTCCCGTATCCTTACTCGGTACTACCGAGCACGACATTGCACAGATAGAAAGACATGCGATTGTAGTAGGAATGAAACGATTAAATTAGGAAATGGGCACAAGGCGTCGTCGTCGAAATCATCACGTCGTCGTCGTCTCTACTTCTTGCCGCGCTTGGCACGCTTCTCCGTGTTGCGCTTGTCCTTCTTCATACGCGGGTCCACAACCTTGGTCGCGCCCTTGTCGCCCTTCCGGAAGGCCTTCGAGTTGGCGGCCGTGCGACCACGACGCGACACGACGTAGAGCTTGCTTTCCTTCTTCGTCTTGGCCATCTTCATCGCCTTGTCAATCGCCTTGAGCTTCTCGCGCGTCGACATGTCGGGCAAGTTGGCAATGTCATTCGCCTTCTTCTTGGCGATCTTGATCTTCTTGAGCTGCTGGCGCTGCTTGCGGGCACGCGCCTCGGCCACCTTCTTGACCGGCTTGGTCGCCATCTCCATGAAGCGCTCCTTCATCTGCGCCATCAAGTGCTTGGGCACCGGAATCTGCGGGCGGTAATGACGCTCCTCGTCGTCCTGAAACCACTCCGGGAGGTCGGCCGCGTCGTTCCACGCATACCGGTTGTACGAGTTGTCGATGAGGTCCTTGGCCGTGTCGCGGCGCAGCATCATGTGCGCCAGCGCCATCGTGCGCGCGTGGTCTTCCTCGTCATAGTCTTCGTTGTCCGAGTCGAACTTGCGCGCATCCATGGGCGGAAGCTCCGGGTCGGCCTTGACGACTTCAAAGTTGGTCGAGAGCGGCGTCGCGACGAGCGGCGCACCCATACCGGCCTTGATGAGCGCTTCCTTCTCATGCTTGCGCTTGAGCTGCTCGGCGGTCAACGGCGTCTTGTTGCCCTTCTTGTCGTCTTCGTCGTCGCCACCAGCATCCATGTTCTCGTCATCCGACGCAAGGCGCGCCAGCTCTTCGTCTTCGAGACGCTGCTTCTTGGCCGCACGGCGGTCCTTGCGTTCCGCGGCGTCCTTGCGCTTCTTGTGACGGATCTCCTTGTCCGTCATGGGCATGACGGGCACGACGTCACCGTCCTTGTCGACAACGACCGTCGGCGTGTCCTTGACGTCTTCGAAAAGCTTGTTGCCCGAGAACCAGCGCGAGACGGCGGCCGACGGACGCACGGGCTGCTTGAGCGAGACAACAAGCGGGTTCTCTTCAACGTCCGACTCGTCCGAGCTCTACTCCGATAAGAAATATAAGCGATTCGGTCGCATCGCGAACAGAAGTACCTCCTCGGGGTTGATCATCTTTTCGTACGCTTCGTTGTCGCCGTCAAACATGGTGTGGTCTTCGACAAGCGCCTCGCCGGCGAGCGCGCGCTTGGCGACCTTGGAGCGCTTGATCGCCTTCTTGGTCTTGGCGCCATCGCCCTTGCGAGAGAGGTACTCGTCGTAGAGCTTCTCCATCTGCGACTCCATGATCGCGGCCATGTCGTCATCGTCGTCGTCGTCGCCGTTGCCGTGTTCGGGCTCGAGGAGCTCGTCCGAGTCCGAGGCCGACGCGTACGCTCCATCGTCGAGGTCGTTGAGGTTGGACTTGCCGAGGCCGAGCTTCTTGAGGCTGAAGGCTTGGTTGTCGTCCGTGAGTTCGATACCCGCCTCGGACATGCCCATGGCCGCACGAAGACGTTCCTTGGCCTTCTTTTCGCGCTCCTAATTGAATTATGGGGATCAGTCGCGTGCTCACAAGGGAATTTGAGAATAAAACTCATAATGAAATGTATGAGCCACAAACGGTACCGCAACCACACTAAGAAGAGGGGGATACAGCTGAAGGATCAAGTTGCTATCGCTAGTTTCAATAGTCGGTCTGTTCAAGGACCATAGCGAGTCGATGGTTCGCAACGACAAGGACTTTTGGATCAAGCAAAATACATGAAATGTGAAAATATGAAAAATACAGAAAAAAATGTACGACGACACCGAGACGCCCCGTGCCAAGCAAGGACACGACGCAGCCTCGATATCGCCGACTCGCTCTAGGAGTTTTACGGGGGTCAGGAGGGTTAGTCCATGCAGTGGCTACAGATGCCAAGGACCACTGGGATAGACTCCAGGTATACACAGAGACACACATGCAGCTCATCAAGGACAGTCGACGCACCTTCTTCTTTTCGCGCTTCTTTTTGGCAAGCACGTTGGCGCGGAGCTGCGCGAGTTCTTCGCGGATCGCCGCGTTCTTCTCTTCTTCGGTCAATTCGACGTTGGCCGTGATGGTCGCCACGACGGCCTCTTCTTCGGCGACCTCCTCTTCGCCTTGGGCGGCCTTGAGGAGTTCGTCGCGGTACACCTGCATCTTGGTGCGCCACTTGAGAAGGCTCTTGAAGTCACCCTTGCCGAGGACCTAAGATCGTAGATGTGGTGAGTGTGTGTCGATCGAAAGTGCAATCTCGGAAAGGCGCAACGAGGTCAGACATGCACGTATGCAAGCTCTCGTGCAGCGACCGCACCGGCTCCTGGTGGGTTGTCCCGCACTTAAGCGGGCGCCAGGACAACAGTGGATCTCCCCGACAGGTGAGTATCAATCATCACACCGCATCGCGCCTTTTTGAGATTGCAATTGAGAATCCAAAGTACCTTGAGATCCGCCAGGCACGACTTGACCTCGGTCGTCGTCGCCGCGTGCTCCAAGAACATGGCGTCGGCCTGTTCAAACTTGAACGACGTGCAGTCTGTAAGGAGGCGGATCGGGTCGTTCGACTCGACAAACTCGGTGATGGTCTTGACACGCGTGAGCGTCTGGCCAAGATCGTCGTCGTAACCTAGTCAAGAGACACATTAGTCGCACGCTCCAACGTCACATGAAACTGAGGCAGCATCGATCACGATACGCCTGCCGACGTAAAGCCGACGGCGCACCGCTTGACGTTGCTCTCCCAAGAATGCAAAGTAGAGAGGACGGTACCTTCACGGTGGCGCTTTTGCTGGCCGTACTTGGGGTGGAAGATCGTGAGGCCACCTTCGGCGTCCTTCTCGAGCGCCGAGAAGACGTGCTCGGGGTCGAGGAGCTTCGGGTCGATCGAGTGCGGCGCAAGGTAGTCTTCGCAGACGACGAAGATTTCGGCCGACTCGTTACGCGACGAGAGCGGCTTGGTCGCCGACACCTTCTTGAAGAGCTGCTTGAAGACCCACACGAGCGCGTTGTAGTCCTGCGAGCGGAAGACCTTGGAGACAAAGGTCGCGCCCTTGCCCATGACGTCGACGGCGAGCTTGAGCGCAATGAGCGCGAGCTCGTTCTGCACGTACGCATCCTTCGAGTACTCGGCACCGACGTTGGGCGCACCATCGCAGAGCACGACGTCGGCGTTCCACGATTGCATTTCCTGGCGAATGATCTGGCGACAGCGCGCGGTCGTGATATCGCATTGGTACGTCTTCACGCCGCGGATCGGGCGGATCGGCAGCAGATCGATACCGAGAATGATCGACGACGCCGGCATGTACTTGGCTGCGACTTGGCACCACCCGCCGGGCGCCGCGCAGAGATCGATACAGACCTTGGCCTTGGAGAGGAAGTCGTACTTCTTGTTGAGCTGGATGAGCTTGAAGGCCGAACGCGCGCGGTAGCCTTGCTGGCGCGCGAGGTTGTAGTACTTGTCCTTATCGTGCTTCTTGCGCTTCACCATGGCGATGTCGTAGTGCTCCAACACTCAGATTGCACTTGATCTTAGTGGCGCCCTGGCCAGTCAAATCTACGTTTGGAAACCCATTCGCTGAAAACCTCTTCGAAATGAACGCTCCCTGTGTGCAATGAACAGCCGTTTTCGACAAAAAGGAGGCTTTTCTGCGTCCATTGCGCTTGAAAGTGACAAAAAAGGGGTGCTTTGCACCTACTTTCGGGTTGAAATGGCGCCAACCCGCAACCCGTTGGAACTGCAAGATGGCGTCGCTTCACACGCAGATTTGGATACTGGCGCGTGGACAAAGAAGAAGAAGCGGGACCTCGTCGGACGAAGCTTATCTCCACTCTGTGCGCCGCCGACGAGCAAAAGCAAGTGGCAGGCTCCTAGAGGCATGGCAATAGCTGAGCAGTTTCAGTCGTCTGACAGCGATGCGGCCGACTGCACCGAGAGCCTGGAAGCGAGATGACTCTGCTTGCAGCAATACTCACCAACGATCAAAGTGCTTGGACGCTGCATTACGGAGGCTCGACAACGCTCTATTTCTGATGGCAGCTCTAGATTGGCAACTGGTCGGCATCTCGAAACATAGCCTCAGGAGGACCATCATGTCCCCTTTGAGGGAGAGAGACTTTCTTCTTGCAGGCGATCTGAGTCGCACCGTGTATCGAGGTGCGCTCGTATGATCTCGGTGACCTCTTCTCACTTAGTCTCCGACGATATCGCTATCTAGACTACGTTGTCGGGACGTGTAAAAGGCTGCGTGAGAGCTCAGACTGCAGTGGCATGCGCAACACTTGCACCAAACGTTTAGACGAACCGAACGTGCAACGTCGCTCGGGGCAACAAGCCTTCGTCGCGAAGCGTGCGCGACTCGTTGTCGTACGTCTACCACATGTAAGGAACTGGTGCAGAGATGGCAGGACGAACGCGAGGCGGAAAGGCCGAAGCGAGCTGAAAAGCTGGAGGTGAATAGCCCCTATTCGTTCACCATACCGTCCATTTGTGACCAATTCGTCCAAGATAATGTATTACCACAGTGCCGCAATCTCGGCCTTGACATCCCGCAACGTGGTGTCATGTGGGATCTGGAGCACGACGGTGTGGTCGGGCGACCGAATCTGGAGCTGCGCGACGCCATCTAGAACACAGCTCGAATTCGAAAGCAGGCCACGCGACAAATCACACCAGGCGAGAGCGTCTTCACACGCGCTTCTGTCGCCGACGAGCGAGGGTGGAGGAGGTCGGCGATCTCGCAACGAATCGGTACGATCGAGCCTTTGTGAATGACAGACACGGGGAGTGCATTCAAAAAGGTGGGCAGTTGCATCTAAATGCGCACTGAGTCGCCGCCTTTGCTCAACAGCGCACCGTTGCGGCGCCTACGGACGCAAGCGAGCGGTACGTTGGACTCTGCGTTGTCGCAAAGGTCGAGTGGCGCTCGTCGACAAGATCAAATCGAACCTACGGGCGCATTAATGGCATTGCACAGGATGCAAGAGTATACGCCATCAGGGTACATCTCTTTCAACTCGAACGGGTAGTAGCCGTCCAGTAGGTCCTAGTCCATTGCACCGTATTGAGTATAGACTCGCCCTTGACTACATCCGACTTGAATCAACTCTTGAGTCGCCACGTCACTGTATGGACTAGCCTCGATGGTTGATCCACCTTCGAGAATCGAGTGCTAGTACACACCGAAAGGGCCCCCGCTTGAGCACAAGACCGTCGCGGTAGATGACCATGCGCAGACTCTCGCGCTCCGTGAGGTGGTGGACCTACCGACCTCGTCCTGATTTTGACTCGGCTACGTCCACGCACCTGCGACTCCCCCGGGGCCTTGACCACCTATCATGAGCGTACGCTAAGCGCTTGTATGGAGCACAGGTAGAGTATACAATGAGGCTGCTCGCCGCTGCGTTGAGGCGCTCGACTTGTGCAATAAGCTCGTCGACGAGGTGCGGTTGGGCGTCGTCGAGCTCGAGAGAAGGAGTGGTGCCAACCCACTCAAGGCCGTAGTCGGCAAGAAAAGCGTGCATGGCTTGCACCTCGTGTCGTAGGAGGCGGAGCTCCCCGTCGGTCTCGACACCGCCGCACTAGCCAAGACGGTGCAGTTTGCAGGGCTTTAGATGCCGAGTATTTGGTTACGTTGGCGTTGTTGGACTGCAGCTGGGCATGCAGCGAGTCGATGGTGGCTTGCTTCTGCGCCACCTCGGCGCGAAGTTGGACGAGCTGCACCTCGACTGCCCGCAAGCGCTGAGCCATCAGCGTCACGAGCGACGGTGCCGGCGCCGCGCGGGTATCGCTCAATAGCTAATACAAGGAGAGTTGCATGATGAGTCATTCCGCGCTCTTGCGAAGGGTGGGACGACGATCCGTCACCTGCTGCGCCACGGTGCGAGCGGTCAAGTCGTCGATGCCATCCTCCGTCTTGTTGCCTGCGGTGACGACTTTGCTTACGTCAACTTTTCACACGGTCTGCGTACACTGCTGCGGGCGCACGGACGGCAACCTGCACCGTACACGAGCATAGTGTTTGCAGCTGGTGGTTCCTTCGTATTCGTATACCTTGAGCGGGGCGGGTACTTGTCGGTGGCCACAGCGTCCATTCGTTCTTCGTAACCGTTTCAGCAACACCGACATCCAGGCTGCAGGGACGTCAGCGTGCTCCACCTCTGTGAGTTGTCGGGGAAAGGGCCAACGCTTGCACTCGATTGCAGCTGTCGATCGCCACTGAAGGATACATGAGCACGCCCACGATAATGCAAACGGCGGCGGCGCGTGGCTCTGCACGTCCATTCCGCGGAAGCTCTCCGGGAGGACCTCGAGTGTCGTCGAGCGAGGATCGGTGGCTTGCAATGGTGGGTGCAAGCATCTGCCCGTCCATTTATTTCGTAATGACAACCTGCCTCGTCTATAGACGAGCTCGACCTTGACGAAGTCCAAGCAAAAGATCTAACGACGTCGTTTCCATGGGTTTTGCCATCGAACCGACAGCTTGTTGGCTACTTGGTTGACGGGCAAGTCGACTGGAACCTTGGCATGAGGCGTACGACCGTACCGTAGTTAGTATATGCGGCAGGAGTCGACTAACTACCGTTTTGAAGTCAAGTCCCATAACGGACATACCAGCTGCTTGCTACTCCGTGTTGTGAAAAAAGAACCCGACGCCGGTTTCAGCGGGCGGCGCTTTCTCTTGGACTTTGTATGCGGAGCACTGTCGTTCGTCGTGTATACTTTAATCCAGTATGTTTCAAGGCAGGGAATCTGGGTGCACGTCGGAATAAAAATACGCGTCCAACATCTTGGCCTTGTATAGAAACCACGTGGCAATTTAATTGCATCGAGATGCTCGCGTTGACGCTTTTGATTGGACAAAAAGCGACGCTTTCCCGCAGCAGGTAAAGCTGCGACCACCGACTTTGAGTCTTGCGCAGCATGAAGTTCGGCAAGGTGCTCACGCAGTCCATCGAGCTCTCGTCCTCCGAGTACGAGCGGTCGTGGGTCAACTACAAGCAGCTCAAGCGCATCATCAAGGACTGCGCGCAGATCCCCAAGCATGACAAGCTCAAGAAGGAGAAGCTCATTGAGGCCGCCAAGCAAAACAACGACAATGAGTCCATCCGTACGCCAGCTCTCCCTACGCCCACGTCGCCCATCATGGCCTCATATGCGCCTCTGTCATAGGCGAATCCGCGAACGAAATGAACTTTTTCCGCACGCTGCGCGCCGATATGGCCAAGATTGCAGACTTTTTCGTCAAGACGCAGCAGCGGTACGGCGATCTGCTCGGCCATCTCGAGACACACTTCAAGGCCTTCGAGGTACGTCGCGCCGTCGCGTCCGAGCAAGAGACGAGGCATGTAGTAGCAAGCGCGCGATGCGACGAACCACGACACAAAGACGCAGATCATGGGCGCGTGCGTTGCGCTCTTCAAGGAGATGCTCTTGCTCGAGAACTTTGCGCTCATCAACTACTCTGGCATCTCCAAGGTACGCGCTTGGATGCATCTGGTGCATTTTGGGACGCGAGTATGATCTTTAGATCCTCAAGAAGCACGACAAGTGGACGGGCTACAACACCCGGACCAAGTTTGTCGAGCAAGTGCTCAACAAGCAGCCGTTCGCGACCTACTCGCAACTGCTGACGATGATCCACCGCGTGGAGACGATATTTATGGACGCGACCGGCTCCACGATCACCCAGCACGACGACTCGACGGCGCCGCAGGAGCGGACGCTCGAGCTCCAACTCGGCTACACGATGCTGCAGCTGTCGCAAAAGGAAGCGAAGACGACCGCGCCGGCGGTGACACCGAGCGCCGAGGTCGCACCGTCGCCGACACCGAGTGCCAAGGCCGCTGAGCGCAGCAAAGTGTCGCTGCACGCTGTCCACGCGCTCCGTGACGAGTCGTTTAGCTTCAAGAAGACCGAAGAGAGCCTGTCGCCAACACATTCGGTCTCCAACTCCAACTCGGAAGACGCCGACGACGAAGACGACAATGACAATGACGATGAAAGCACGACGTCATCGGACGCGTCCAAGGTCCGGCCAAAGCGCAAGCGACAAGCGGTGACAACCGCGACCGACTCGCCGTCACCGACGCGACAGAAGATGAGCTTTGCCAACATTTTGAATTGACCCTGTAATAAAATCATCACCCGTCCGTGTCCGTGTCTGTGTGACAGGTAGTACAGACGTGACGCGGACGCGGACGCGGTGTCCTTGCCGCGTACGACAAGACGGACGCAAAGACAACGCACGCCAAGTCGGTTAGCTTATTTGGGTGCGGAAACGACGACTCGTTAGAGCACAGGACGACGACGACTACTAGTATACGTCACTCGTGCAGCTCTTAGCCGTAGTAGCGACCGATGAGGAAGAAGAGGATCGCGCAGATGAGAACGTGGAATAATGTGAGAGGCGGCTAGTTGATCGTATATGAGATAACGCGGATGTAGCATGATCGTTGTACCTTGGGGGGTGCCTCAGCCGTCGGAGCGCGGGTGGGCGAGGCGTTGCCGGCGGCCGTCGTGGCGTCGTCGGCGCTGCCTTCGGGCCTTCGCTGGCGCAAGGTCGACATGTCCGAGGTCTGCCGCTTCAATCGCTGCTGCTCGGTCGTGAGTTTCTGGTTTTGCTGGCGCGACTTGTCGAGGTCGCCCATGAGCGTATCGCGCTGGGCCGTCAATTGCACGGTAAAAGCCACAAGCTAAGGTCGTAGGGTAAGCGGATCATGGAGCAATGCGTCATATTGGACTACCTCGTCGTACTTCTTGCGCAAGACAGCCATCTCGGCCATCATCTCCTGTCGAATCGAGTCCTCCGCGGTGGAGGCGTACACCGACTGCTGCGTCGAGAGCGACTTGGGCGCGGCCTCGGGCGGGCTCTCGAGAAGCGCGCTCGTGAGCTGGCTCGGCGTGCTCACGTCCCCGCTGCT